GATTATATGTGTAAATGTGTTGTAGAAAGTTCGTTGTATTGAAAAGATTCGAGTGGAAATTTCAGAGTATCTTGTAATTCACGTAATGAATTAAAATACTCGTACATCGGTTGACGATAATTTAAAAAAAAAAAACAGTGGCGCATTCGTGATTATGTTTTTACTATACAGTGTTCTTTGTCGGGTATCAATGTTTGTATATGTAGATACGTTTTCGTATAACTCATTTACATCGTTCCTTACACTTCGTATCGTACCAGTAATTCGCAATCGTTTTGTTTCTTAAGACTAAAGCCATTTATAAACAGCTAATTTTACCTTTGATCTTAATATACTGTTAAAATGATATTAATAATCGTGCCTATTTAGTGCCTTTAACATTAGGTAGGGTGTATGAAAATTAATTTAGTACTTGTAGCTTAACTAATGCATATTTATTTAACTACGTCTGAAAATTTTATCTTCTTCGTTTTTACATGTTGACTTGCTGCAGGATAATTTTGCTTGCTACATGTTCTGACTTCATACAGCGAAACATTTTCACTCATTATTTATTACAAATATTTCTTTCTTGACAAAATTTGACACCAACTCGGTTAATGATATTGTTGAATCTGACCTGAATTTATTTGTTACAATGATTAGAAGGTACGATATCATTAATGTTTAACTTTCATTTGTGATAAAGAGTTGGTGCAATTGGCTTTGCTCCCATAGTCTTTCTGACGTTGCTTTGTTTGCCCTTCAGAAATTGTTCAGAGGAGGTGATGCAGGACAAATCCGACCTTTGAAATACAGGGCACGAACTAAACACTGTTTTTCTTTGACATCGGTGAAAGATCCATGTAAAACATATTTATAAACATTGATGCGATCTTCGCAGTATAATCGAAATATCTTGACTTGTGTGCCAATTGACTCATACGAAATTTCTCAAAGGAACGTACATTGCCAGTTATTTTTTAAGCAGCTTTAAAAACATATGTTAACTATATACTGTATTTTAATACCCAGTCAGTCGTCAATTATTGTGTACAACATCTAAATAACTCAAGATTTTGTCTCAAAGAGGCAGATCAAGTTGGATATAAAATAAGGTAACGGACATTTACATTTCCAGTGATATAATTGAGAAGTTCGTGGCAAAAACAATACTCTTAAAAGAAAATTACGAAATTTGTACTCTTTAATATAAATCAATAATAGTTGGCAAATTAGCACCATTTTAGTAATGTAATGAACACTTAAAAAATGATTTGAGTCTATTTAAGAATATCTTTTCCGAGGAAATATAAATGATAGAGAATTTGTTTGCTACGAATTGCTCAATCGAACAAAAGTTTGTACATGTATAAATTTTATAAGAAATGAGAATATGAATGTTAATTTTTGTGCCATTCAATTTTGTTCTGCGAAACATATAGAACAACATTGTAGTGCCTGTGGAAAAATTATGGAACGTGAATTTATTATTTTAAAATTAACTGCACATTTCTTATTCAAGCTTTAAATCAACTTTCATGCTTTCAATCATAGCCGTAACCCATATGAATTTTTATAATAAATTATGAATCTATGATCTGAGAATGTTGTATGGTAATACATCATCGGAAACCGAAATTCGATTTGAAAGAATTGTAGTTCTTATTTTTTCATTCAAAAAGCATAATGAGATGAAGGTACAAAAGGAAAGGAAGAATGTGCCGACATCGATGTACTCTCTTTAAAAGCAAAACTATTATATCCACAAAAAGCCACGATTTTGTTAGCATTATTTTAATTATACACTTACTATAATTGCTGACATTATAGAGACTTAGATTACAGAGATTTATAATTTGAAATGAAATTTCAATGACGAAGTTAATAAGCTAATAAAATTTATTTTTTTATGACATACCTAGTGAAACGAGACCAAAATTGCCCAATTTTGTGAACAATTTTATTGAAACAAAATAATCATAACAATGCGAGGAATCAAATAAAAATATCTTTACACAGAAACTATTGGCAAATAAATATAATTATATAGATATAAGACGATGAACTATTAAGAATATAGTTCTATGATACGTTCATGTATTAAAAAAAATGAACAAAAATTTAGGATTAATTCTTTGTCCTTGTGGATGTAACAATGTATTGTACTGTACTCCTTGTAATTTTTCTTCTCACAGTCAATTATGCCTTTTACTTCATAATGAAAATCCAAATAATCAATAATAGTAGAAATAAATGGGTCAATTAAATTTTCCAATAAAAAGCGAAAAGTTGCAAGGAAAGCAAAACAAAAAGTTTGTTAGTTCTTTACAAGGACTTCCTCAACAAAGTTCTTGCCTCGTTAGCTTTTGCGTATAATTGCCTCTTCGAAAACGTGCCTTTGCGTCAAAATGACCATTAAAGACGAACACCTCAACGTTCGAAATAAGCCGAAAAAGCCATTACAGATATTTTTGTTACTGTTTAGCACTCGAAGTGCATTCATGTGAAAAATCACAGAAGCTCTGGTAGCATCTCGTGCAACAATTTTTAATTTATGATAGGTTTTTTAGAAGTTCCGTTTCATCCACTGTATTAACATTTGACTTTCTTTAAATATTTTGTGTATTCTCGATGAGTATGAATATACGTAGAGCATGGTATATGGACAAATAAATAAATAAATAAAATATTACAGATCATTCAAATATAATAATGTTATATGTGTTACAGATCTACAACAATAGTTCTCGAAAATTGATACAAAATGCGATTGAATTTTTCGTTAGTTATAATAGTGAGGGTTTCGTCTATTTAAAATAGTTTAACGATTAAATCAACAATTGTACGTTTTTCATAGTTGTCTATAAACCATGCTGAACATGTTCTGATGTATAAAATACCGCACGCTTGATAATAGCTTAATATCTATTTTATAGGGGTATATGTGGACTCGAATTTTATGAGCCTTCTGTGTTTTATCGTTTCAAAACGAGGGTAATTCCGCTCATTTTGAAGCATTGTAAATATTACCGATAAGTAGGTCGTAAATGTAGTATAGCGCAGATAATATTTTTTACTATACGTGTAAGAATATTGTAATACTTTTAATGTTACGTACATAGTCATTACTATTTATATGATACTGTAACTGATTGTATAAATTTACTCTTTATTATGTAAACTAAAAATCTCAAGCCTCCGTTTTTCACCTTTTAAACACTTTCCTACTTTTCGCTCATTTTCGTTTAATGTGTTATAGATTCGAAGAGAGGAGACTGAAGAATAGATTAAAATCAGAAGGATCGCAATATTAGAGTCTGCACATCAGTGAACTATAGCTTTTATGTTAATTCGTTTTTATTCTTTTCCACATATTTCGTGCATTTGAATAGTAATTTAGATGCACACCAATTTTCAGAATGTAGCAGCCATTCTTCATGCTAGCCTGTTTTAAAAAAAACCTTCATCCCGTGCGATGAACGTGATTCTTCATCACGAAAATTCAAAACGCGGGGAGGGTATCATTAGTGAAAGCTGTACGTGTGGTGGTTTGTCGACATTTCCGAGGCATTGGCCTTAATTTCGGTCATTTTATGTCGGAAATCACTGGCGCATTTGCACGCTTCAATCTCATTCATTTCCTCTTTGTTTTGCCACATTTTGGCCCACCCGTTGCTACCAGCAGTTATTTTCTGAAACGTCAAATTCTCTCTGAATCTCTCCCCGCCGGCCGAGCCTTTTATTCCCGTGAATGGCCCGTTCGCCTATTGTTAATTTAATATAGCAGACTGCTGCGTGCAACGGACGATGCTACGAAGGACGAACACTGTACGAAGAGTTTTTATAAATCAAATTTTTACCGGGAAAATATTGTTCTTGTTAAAACGTACGAGACATTTTATTTTATCGTGAATAACTCGATTGTAATTTTCACCGGAGCATTGTTCATCCTCTTCATTGTTTCGTGACAATATTACGTGTTTTAATTGAATGTTTTGTAGACGTTTAACATGTATAGAACACATTATCTTTCTCATCCGTATTATAGTTTAGTTATAGTCTATTTTAGTTTTAAAACGAAACACACGGTCGTATGTCTACATACAGGGTGTTTCAGAAAAAGTGTTAGAGCCGAAGAGAGATGATTCCTTAATCTGTAAGTGTTTCTGAACAACAAGTTCCTTTACCAAAATGCAGTGAGCTGTGGTTTTTGAATTATGAACGAAAAACACTGACCAATAAAAGCGCGTGTAGGGCCTGCGCTCAGCCACGGTCGAACGCCACGATCCGAGCCAACCTATCCGTGGCTGAGCGCGGGTCCTACGCGTGCTCTCATTGATCAATGTTTTTCTTTAATAATTCAAAAACCACGGCTCACTTTGCATTTTGGTAAAGGAAATTGTTGTTCAGAAACACTTACAGATCAAGAAATCACCTCTCTTCGGCTCTAACACTTTTTCTGGGACATCCTGTATACACGCGTAGCTGCATATGATGCAATTGCAATAGCCGGGCAGGCCATCAACAAAACGTCGACTGTTCGTCAACCGTAATACGCATCAACCTCGTTACCAGTCCGGAGGACATTCTTGGCACCGCGACAGCACGTTTCCGGTGACCAAATCAGTTACTCCCGTTGTACGTGCGTACAGATATTCTAGTTCAGTATCGTTCAATCGTTGGGAGTGGACTTCGTTTCATTTCTAGTTCTTCAATATTCTATTCATTCTCTAGTCTTTAAAATTCTATTCCTCAATTTTTGCATATGGAGCTTCTGTGTTATATTCTGAAAAATCAATCAATACGCGATAAAGTTTTATATTAAACTTGCTACAAAAATTCTACAGTTAAATAATAGAGCTCGTTGATCATAATTTTCTCACATGACTGTTTTTATTTTCACAGAATATCAACTCGTTTCAGTTGTTAAGTTTGACTGATAGAATTGAATTATTCTGCATATGACAAATTGATCAAATTGATGACTGTCATTATGAAGACAGCATACTTCCCGTCATTTAAAGGCATTATTATCAAGCTGCGAATGGTAGTATCGTGATTCAGATTGTCCCGCAATGACATACATGCATGCATATAGAGAGACAGAGACAGAGAGAGGGGGAGAGCGCGTGCGGTTTTCCGGCGGCGAAGATGTTAAAATTTTTACACGGCCCGTAGTTGACATGAATTTTCAATAGGCGAAACGCTTGAGCGTGGAGTGCTGCACTTTGCCTGTCACAATAGAGCCCGCCGCGGCGCGACGCGACGTGACTCGAGCATAAAACGTAATATCCGCGTCGGGAGACGTCGTTGCACTTAATTCTTCTACTTACGGACCATTCCGTTTCAGCATACGTTAACGCTCGTGCGTCTGTGTGAAACGCCGTTGTTACTTGGGCTCAGTGGAAGCTCGCGTGTATACCAACGGCACGTGAAAATAGAAAATTAAAAGGCAGATTTTCGCACTTACGGCTTGATTCGTTTCCGTTCATTAAAAGAAAAGATCAGTGCAGAGACGCGTGGCACTGCCGAAACGAAAGTCAATTTCTTTTCATTTCGAACATGGAGCTTTGGAAAAATAGATAAAAAATCGTTCCCCCTCATTGAAAGGAATAAAAGGAGTTTTAAAATTAGTAGCTACTTTCGAAGTCCGCTTTTGTGATAAGAGCACATGGTAATTAACTTTGTACTCTTAACTTCATTGGAAGACTTCGGGTTTTACTACAATTGGTTTTCTCTCGGTGGACGCTATAAATTTTAGGTCCTTTTTTGTAGCTCCTTATATGAAACGTAGTTTTTATGAAATACGCCAAAGAATTTACGAGAGTTTCTTTCCCTGCTTCTGACGCGTCATTTACATATGCGAGGCTGTAACAATATTTTAGGCAGTTTGAATTCTCTCAGATTTATTGCCTTTTTCACCGTCCTTCCCACGTGGCGGAGTTTAACGCTGGGCTTGGAATAATTTTTGAAACAGACGCTTTCCTTGTCCCGACCAATATTAAATGCTTGTGCATTTCCCAAGTGGGATGGAATGCATCGACGCCGTACAGTTTTATGTAATCCACGCAGGAAGCAACGCGTTCATCGCCTTCGAACCAATATCCATTACCCCGTTAATACGCGGCGCAAATTGTCCTTCATCCGACGTTCGCGTCCAAGTAACTTCCATTTAACGGAATTAATGCTATAATCGCCGCCAGCGTTATCGCAGTAACATTATCATTCTGAGATGCAACTTTCATCATAATTACGCGACCCGTCCTTTAACTCTTCCGCCGTCCAAAATAGCATCTAAAAATTTTCTATTCGTGCATCGATCCAATTTATTTCCTGAATGAATTACTTTTTCCCCTTCGAAAAGTCTGGAATTTTTAATGCCTGTTAGAATATATTTCGATATTTTAAAAAAAAAAAATTTTTTGTTTCTCCGAGATTTTTCCAAG